TTAAAATAAAGAATATTACAAGAGATAAGGAAGGACACTACATAATGATCAAGGGATCAATCTAAGAGGAAGACATAATGATTTTAAGTATCTATGCACCCAACATAGGAACACCTCAATACATAAGACAAGCACTAACAGACATAAAAGGAGAAACGGACAGTAACACAAAAATAGTAGGAGACTTTAACACCCTACTCACACCAATGAGCAGATCATCAAAACAGAAAATTAATAAGGCAACACAAGTCTTAAATAATACATAAGATGAGATGGATCTCACTGATATCGTCAGGAAATTCCATCCAAATGCAAAAGAATACACCTTCTCAGGTAGACAAAGAATATTCTCCAGGGTACTCCACATCTTGGGTCACAAATCAAACCTTAGTAAATTTAAGAAAGTTGAAATCGTTATCAAGCATCTTCTCTGACGACAATGCTCTGAGACTAGATATCAATTACAAGAAAAAAACTTCAAGAAACACAAACACACAGAGATTAAACAATATATTTCTAAATAACCAAAAGGTTACTGAAGAAATCAAATGGGAAATCAAAAAATTTCTAGAAGCAAATGACAATGAAAACATGACAACTCAAAATGTATGGGATGCAGCAGAAGCAGTACTAAAAGGGAAGTTTATACAATACAATCCTACCTCAAGAAACAAGAAAAACATCAAACAGACAACCTAACTTGACACCTTAAATAACTGGAAAAAGACTCCAAAAATTAGTAGAAGGAAGGAAATCATAAAGATCTGAACAGAAATAAATAAAAAAGAAATGAAAGAAACAATAGTAAAGATTAATAAAACTAAAAGCTCATTCTTTGAGAAGATAAAAAAAATTAACAAACCTTTGACCACATTCATCAAGAAAAACAAAGAAGAATCAAATCAACAAAATTAGAAATGAAAAAGGAGATGTTACAACAATGTAGAAATACAAAGGATTATAAGAGACTATTATAAACAGCTATATGACAATAAAATGGATAACCTGGAAGAAATGAACAGATTATTAGAAAAGTTCAATCTTCCAAGACTGCAACAGGAGGAAAACAAAATTATGAACAACCCAATTACAAGCACTGAAATTGAAGTTGTGATCAAAAATCTCCCACAAAACAAAAGCCCAGGATCAAATGGCTTCACAGGAGAATTCTACCAAACATTTATTTATTTTTTTATTTCATTTATTTTTATTAGTTGGAGGCTAATTACTTTACAATATTGTAGTGGTTTTTGCCATACATTGACATGAATCATTTAGAGAAGAGCTAATGTCTGTCCTTCTAAAATTCAAAAAATTGCAGAGGAAGGAACACTTCCAAACTCATTCTACGAGGCCACCATCACCCTGATACCAAAACCAAAGACAACACAAAAAAAGAAAACTATAGGCCAGTATCACTGATGAAAATAGATGCAAAAATCCTCAACAAAATTTTAGCAAACAGAATACAGCAACACATCAAAAAGCTCATACACCATTATTAAGTTGGTTTTATTCCAAGGATACAAGGATTCTTCAATATACGTAAATCAATCAATGTGGTACCCCATATTATGAAAGGTGAAAACCATATGATAATTTCAATAGATGCAGAAAAAGCCTTTGACAAAATTCAAATTATGATTAAAATCATAATTAAAATCATTCAATTTATGATTAGAACTCTTCAAAAAATGGGCATAGAAGGAACCTACCTCAACATAGTAAAGGCCATATATGATAAGCCTCCAACAAACATTATTCTCAATGGTGAAAAACTGAAAGCATTCCCTCTAAGATCTGAAACAAGGCAAGGGTGCCCACTTTCCCCACTGTTATTCAACATAGTTCTGGAAGTCCTAGCTACAGCAATCACAGAAGAAAAAGAAATAAAAGGAATACAGATCTGAAAAGAAGAAGTAAAGCTCTCACTGTTTGCAGATGACATGATCCTGTACATAAAAAACCCTAAAGATAATATCAGAAAATTACTAGAGCTAATCAGTGAATTTAGCAAAGTTGCAGGATACAAAATCAATACACAGAAATCACTTGCATTTCTACATATTAACAATGAAAAATTGGAAAGAGAAATTAAGGAATCAATCCCATTTACCATTGAAACGAAAAAATTAAATATCTAGGAATAAACTTACCTAAGAAGACAAAGGAACTGTACATAGAAAATTATAAGACACTGATGAAAGAAATCAAAGATGACACAAACAGATGGAGAGATATTCCATGTTCCTGGGTAGGAAGAATCAATATGGTGAAAATGACTATATTACCAAATGCAATCTACAGATTCAATGTGATTCCAATCAAATTACCAAAGACATTTTTCACAGAACAAAAAATTTCACAATTCATATGGGAACACAAAAAACCCTGAACAGCCAAAGCAGTCCTGAGAAAGAAGAATGGAGCTGGAGGAATCAACCTTCCTGACTCAGACTATACTACAAAGCTACAGTCATCAAGACAGTATGGTACTGGCACAAAAACCAGAAATACAGACCAACGGAACAATATAGAAAGCCCAGAAATAAACCCATGCACCTATGGGTACCTTATATTCGACAAAGGAAGCAACAATATACAATGGCACAAAGGTGGCCTCTTCAATAAATGGTGCTGGGAAAACTGGACAGCTACATGCAACAGAATGAAATTAGAACAGTTCCTAACACCACACACAAAGATAAACTCAACATGGATTAAAGACCTAAATGTAAGACCAGAAACTATAAAACTCTTAGAGGAAAACACAGGCAGAACACTCTGTGACATAAAGCAAAGCAAGATCTGTTACCTGCTTCATAAAGTAATGGAAATAAAAATAAAAGTAAACAAGTGGGACCTGATTAAACTTAAAAGCTTTTGCACAGCAAATGAAACTATAAGCAAGGTGAAAAGACAACCTTCAGAATGGGAGAAAATTTCCAAAATATACAAGCAGTTCATACAACTCAATACCAGAAAATCAAACAACCCAATCAAAACATGGGCAAAAGATCTAAACAGACATTTCTCCAAAGAAGACATACAGATGGCTAACAAACACATGAAAAGGTGATCAACAATACTCATTATTAGAGAAAAGGAAATCAAAACAATGCAATATCACCTCACACCGCTCAGAATGGCCATCATCAAAAAGTCTACAAATAATAAATGCTGAAGGGGGTGTGAAGAAAAGGGAACGCTCTTGCACTCTTGGTGGGAATGTAAATTGATATAGTGACTATGGAAGACATATGGAGATTCCTTAAAAAACTAGGAATAAAACCACCACATGACCCAGCAATCCCACTCCTAGGCATATACCCTGAGGAAACCAAAACTGAAAAAGACACATGCATCCCATTGTTCATTGCAGCACTATTTACAATAGAACTATTTACTAGAACATGGAAGCAACCTAGATGCCCATCGACAGATGACTGGATAAAGAAGTGTGGTACATAGACACAATGGAATATTACTCAGCCATAAAAAGGAACACCTTTGAGTCAGTTCTAATGAGGTGGATGAACCTAGAACCTATTATACAGAGTGAAATGAGTCATAAAGAGAAAGATAAATATTGTACTCTAACATATATATATGGACTCTAGAAAAATGGTACTGAAGAATTTACTTACAGGGCAGCAGTGGAGAAGCAGACATAGAGAACAGACTTGTGGACATGGGGAGAGGGGAGGAGAGGGTGAGATGTATGGAAGGAGTGACATGGAGACTTACATCACCATGTGTAAAATATATAGCCAACGGGAATCTGCTGTATAGCTAAGACACTCAAACAGGGGCTCTGTATCAGCCTAGAGGGGTGGGATGGGGAGGGAGATGGGAGGGAAGTTCAGAAGGGAGGGGATATATGTATACCTATGGCTGATTCAGGTTGAGGTTTGACAGAAAACAACAAAATTCTGTAAAGCAATTATCCTTCAATAAAAAAAAAATAAATTAAAAAAAGGTGTAATGTAAGCTATAAATGAGGATCACATATGTGATGAAAAATTTTCAAGTGCTCAGTAGTCATATTTAAAGAGCAAAAAGAGACACATATAAAATTAATAATATATTGTATCTAACCCAAATATAGCCAAAATGTTATTTAACATTTCATTATAAAATTGGTATTTTTCATTTGTGTGTGAAGAATTCAAAAATTGGTTTGTATTTTACATACATGTAACATCTCAAATTGAACTATTCACATTGCAAGTGATTAACAGTTCTAGTAGCCAAACATACTGGACAACGCCAGTCTTGATTTTTATGTTAGTATCATACTTTACGACGTGAAATAAGTCAGACAGAGAAAGACAAATATGTTATACTGCTTATATTCACAATCTTAGAAAAATAATACAAATGAACTTATTTATAAAATAGAAAGACTCACAGACTTAGAAAACAAACTATGGTTACCAGAGGGGAAAGGTGAGGTGTGTGATAAATTGGGAATTTGGGATTAACAGATACACACTGGGTGTATAAAATGGATAAGCAACAGGGTCCTACTGCAGAGCTCAGGGAATTCTACTCAATATTCTGTAATCCTATATGGGGAAAGAATCTGAAAATGAATGGATATATATGTATATATGGGCTTCCCCAGTGGCTTAGCAGTAAAGAATCTGCCTGCAATGCAGAAGCTGCAGGAGACATAGGTTTGATTCCTGAGTCAGGCAGATTCCCTGAAGGAAGGCATAGAACCCACTGCAGCATTCTTGCTGGGAAAATTCCGTGGACAAAGAAGCCTGGTGGGCTACAGTTCATAGGGTTGCAAGGAGTCAGTACACAACTGAAGCCACTTAGCATGCACCCACATACTGAATCACTCAGCTGTACACCGGAAACTAACACGACCTTGTAAATCAATGACAGTCCAATATAAAATAAAAATTTTAAAGAAGACTAAAAGAAAAAAAGCAAATTTTTATAGAAAAAGTAATTAATGTAAGAGATGATCGTAAACAATTTTCTCTTACCTACACAAATCTTCTTTGATTTGAAGAGAGATCAATTCCTTAGGAATATGAAAAGAAAGTATGCTCTCTGACATCTGCTCCCGGATTTGCATCCACTTATTGTCAGAAGTGGGAAATCTGTATAATTTACACACTGGGTTCTTTAACACTGGAAAAGGAGACAAAAATCAAGATTAATAGTCAGATTATAAAGATATGTCCATTAGATAAAGATCAAGTAACAACATCATTAATCAGGCTACCATTCTAATTATTTATTTGATGAAAAATTTTTATTATAACCCATAGTGTATTTGAGTTCCTAAGAATTTTATCCATACACCTTATTTTTTTCAGTAGCTTCTGGGACATTAGTCTTTATTAAATTAAAAAGTGATACATCAAATTCCAATTCATAAAGTGGCCACTGTGGTTCTCTGATATACTGCCTAATAATTCTTTTCCCTTCTAAAGATTTTCTTATAGTAAATGTATTTATAACTATAGATGAAAATATATGGATTTATATATCATACATACTTTGAAAAAATACATTTCTGAATTTCTTCCAATCACTCTTAGTCAACTTTACCCACATACATAGTAGGTGACAACTGATATGTTATATTAAAGGTTCTAAATGACCCTACTACCAAAAGTGACTTATTTCTTAAATGTCAAAAGGTTTATTCTTAGTTTAAGATCTATTACCATTCAAATATTATTCATACTTCAGTGCCACTAAGTCAATAACACACTTTCCTGAAACCATACATTATTAAAAGCAGAATAGGGAAACTACGGAACAAACTGAATATTTGGGGTGTGTGGGCAGTGATTAGGGGAAAAGTAACATGGTCATGTCATTAAGGATTTTAAAAGATTAAAAGAAAAAGTGCAACACTAGATATTAAGATAATACTTGAGACACCTTTTATGAGGCCAGCATTCCTGCTGCACTACCAAGCCCTGTATTTCAGGGCAAGGTTTTATCTCCACTGCCATACGGCGATGAATGTAAAAGAAACTTTTGCACAACAAAGGAAACTATAAGCAAGGTGAAAAGACAGCCCTCAGATTGGGAGAAAATAATAGCAAACGAAGCAACAGACAAAGGATTAATCTCAAAAATATACAAGCAGCTCCTGCAGCTCAATTCCAGAAAAATAAATGACCCAATCAAAAAATGGGCCAAAGAACTAAACAGACATTTCCCCAAAGAAGACATACAGATGGCTAACAAACACATGAAAAGATGCTCAACATCACTCATAATTATCAGAGAAATGCAAATCAAAACCACAATGAAGTACCATTACACGCCAGTCAGGATGGCTGCTATCCAAAAGTCTACAAGCAATAAATGCTGGAGAGGGTGTGGAGAAAAGGGAACCCTCTTACACTGTTGGTGGGAATGCAAACTAGTACAGCCGCTATGGAAAACAGTGTGGAGATTTCTTAAAAAACTGGAAATAGAACTGCCATATGACCCAGCAATCCCACTCCTGGGCGTAAACACCGAGGAAACCAGAACTGAAAGAGACACGTGCACCCCAATGTTCATCGCAGCACTGTTTATCATAGCCAGGACATGGAAGCAACCTAGATGCCCATCAGCAGACGAATGGATAAGGAAGCTGTGGTACATATACACCATGGAATATTACTCAGCCATTAAAAAGAATTCATTTGAATCAGTTCTAATGAGATGGATGAAACTGGAGCCCATTATACAGAGTGAAGTAAGCCAGAAAGATAAACACCAATACAGTATACTAACGCATATATATGGAATTTAGAAAGATGGTAACGATAACCCAATATGCAAAACAGAAAAAGAGACACAGATGTACAGAACAGACTTGTGGACTCTGTGGGAGAAGGTGAGGGTGGGATGTTCTGAGAGAATAGCATTGAAACAAGTATACTATCAAGGGTGAAACAGACCACCAGCCCAGGATGGATGCATGAGACAAGTGCTCAGGGCTGGTGCACTGGGAAGACCCAGAGGGACGGGATGGGGAGGGAGGCAGGAGGGGGGATCGGGATGGGGAACACATGTAAATCCATGGCTGATTCATGTCAATGTGTGGCAAAAACCACTACAATATTGTAAGTAATTAGCCTCCAACTAATAAAAATAAATGAAAAAGTTAAAAAATTTAAAAAAAAAGAAAGAAATATATCAAAGTTTAGTGAACAACAAAATATCACGTCCATCACCAGTCAAGTATCTATGATTATTTGGCTTCAGTTTACCAATAAAGCTAACTAAAAACAGAATTTGATATTGAAGTGGATCTAAAACTTTAATAATACCCAGCCTGGAATGTGGCCCAAGTCTCTTCAATGTATAGAGTAAAACACCTTTCAACATTTCAGAGTTCCAAAAGCCTTGTGCATGCAAGTCACTTCAGTTGTGTCCAACCATTTGCGACCCTATGGACTGTAGCCTGCCAGGCTCCTCTGTCCATGAAGTTCTCCAGGCAAGAATACTGGAATGACTTGCCATGCCCTCCTCCAGGGGGTCTTCCTGACCCAGGGATAAAATCTGTGTCTCCTGCATTGGCAGGCAGGTTCTTTACCACTAGCACCATCTGGGAAGCCAATAAGCCTGTACCACATTTATTACTTGGATAAATATATATATATACACATATATACACACATACATATATATTTCTGAGCATTAAAATGAGGAACTATTCATCCATTCTGCAACCACCATTCTCAGTGGCTCAGTCTGGACATTATCATTGTTAAGAACTGAGAGTACATCAGAAACCTTGACATCAAACATCTCATTCTTCAATAACCAGATTCAAAGCTCCCAGTACACTTCTCTATTTCCTATAAGTGTTATCTAGAATGTGCACTTTTTAAAAACACCAATGTCGTTTAGTCACTAAGTAGTGTCCAGTTCTTGCAACCCCATGTGGACTGTAGCCTGCCAGGCTCCTCTGTCTACGGGAATCTCCAGGCAAGAATACTGGAGTGGGTTGCCATTTTCTTCTCCAGGGGATCTTCCGACCCAGGAATCAACCTGGGTCTCCTGCATTTTAGGCAGATTCTTTACCCACTGAGCAATGAAGGAAGATAAAAACACCAATAGAAGCCAGGAAACAGTAGTATTTTTCCAGTACTTTGAGAGACAATATTTTAAATCTAGTATTGTATGTCCAAAAGGATTATGTTTTTGCCATAAACATGACCTTTAAGTCTTGTGAATCAGATTATGACAGACCATATATAAGGCTAATTACACTTTCTCATTTTTGTGAATTATAATTGACATAATATTATACTAGCTGCAGGTATACAATGTAATGACTCAGTGTTTGTATAAATTGTTAAATGATTACTACAATGAGTCTTGTTAACATCTGTCACCATACATGATCACAAATTTTTTCTTGTGATGAGAACTTTAAAAATCTCTCTCAGGGGAGGAGCCAAGATGGCGGAGGAATAGGACAGGGAGACCACTTTCTCTCCTACAAATTCACCGAAAGAACATTTGAACGCTGAGCAAATTTCACAAAACAACTTCTGATCGCTAGCAGAGGACATCAGGCGCCCAGAAAAGCAGCCCATTGTCTTCGAAGGGAGGTAGGACAAAATATAAAAGATAAAAAGGGAGTCAAAAGAGCTACGGACGGAGACCCGTCCCGGGAAGGGAGTCTTCATAGAGGAAGTTTCCAATCACCAGGAAACCCTCGCACTGGCGGGACTGGGGGAAATGTTCGGCAATCTAACTGGGAGGAAAAATTAAATAAGGCCCATAGATTACATGCCTAAAAGCAACTCCCAGCAGAAAAGTACCCCAGACGCCCGCACCCGCCAGCAACAAGCGGGGACGGAACGGAGAGGAGCGGGCGGCATTGCTTAGGGTAAGGACCGGCCCGAAGACCCTGAGAGCAATCGGAGGGAGCTTTTTTAAACTGTGGGATAGCAAGGGTCAAAATTAACAGGCCCGAACACACTGCCGGCGGTTCGCAAAACAAAGGGACTGAGAAACTCCAGAGAAGAGCCGGCCCATCCCCGCTGGAGGTAGGAGGCAGGGGGAGGGGGAAAAGGGCAAACTCAGCCCCTGAGAAGCCACCCCCTCCCACACTGCAAACAGGCCCCCGGTTCCTATCTAAAGACTTCCTGAGACCCGACTGGCGGCGCGCGCTGGGGCCGCGGAGGGAAAGAGCGCGCCGTACCCGGGGAGAGTGCGCCCAAGCCTCTGGCTGCCTGGGCCGCTCGCTGCGGAGGGAAAAGGTGCGCCGCATCCGGGGAGAGTGGGCCCAAGCCTCTGGCTGCCTGAACCGCTCAGGCCGGGGAAGGCACAAAACGCAGGCGCAACCGAATCCGCGCTTTTGTGGAGTACCCGAAAACTGGAACCGCACTCAACGCAGGGCCCGCTCCATATAGAGCAACCGGGAGCCTGAGCAGTGTAGACGGCGAAAGCACTGACACCCGTGAGCGGGGCAAACCCAGTGTGGCCGGAACACGGTGAGTGCGATCCACACAGAGCGGTATCTGTCTGCAGCGCCCCGCCCTCCCCGTAGCAGGACTGAACTGAACTAGCGAACCTAAATAAGAGATCACCTCCGCCCGCCTGTGTCAGGGCGGAAATTAGACACCAAAGAGACGGCAAACAGAAGCCAAATAAACAAAGGGAACCGCTTCAGAAAGGACCGGTGCAACAGATTAAAATCCCTGAAGGTAACACCGACTACACCGGAAGGGGCCTACAGATATCGAGAAGTGTAAGCTGGAAAGAGGAGCTATCTGAAATTGAACTGAACCTACACTGACCGCAACAACTCCAGACAAATTCCTAGATATTTATGTTTTTTTTTAATATAAAAAAAATTTTTTTTCTTTCCTTTTCTTTTATTTTTTATTTTTCTCTTTTATTTTCTTTTAAAATTCACTATTACTCTTCCATTACTCAACTTTCATTTTCATATATTTTTACGATTTTTTTAATTAGGGGAAAAAATTTTTTTTTCTTTTTCTTATTTTTCTCTCCTATTTCCTTTTAAAGTCCTCTAATACTCCTCTATTATTCCTTAATTTTCATTTTCGTTTCACTATAACATTGCCAAAAAAAAAAAAGAGAGAGAGAGAAACCCTATTTTTAAACCAAACTTCATATACATTTCTAAATTTTTTTTGTGT